AACCACAGCCTCCCAGACACTGTTCAGAGAGGTGTACTGTTTTCCCTCCTGGTAAATCTCACATTTGATGATGGACCACAGGTTCTCAATGAGGTTCAGATCAGGTGAACAAGGAGGCCATGTCATTAGTTTTTCTTCTTGTATACCCTTTCTTGCCAGCCACGCTGTGGAGTACTTGGACGTGTGTGATGGAGCATTGTCCTGCATGAAAATCATGTTTTTCTTGAAGGATGCAGACTTCTTCCTGTACCACTGCTTGAAGAAGGTGTCTTCCAGAAACTGGCAGTAGGACTGGGAGTTGAGCTTGACTCCATCCTCAACCCGAAAAGGCCCCACAAGCTCATCTTTGATGATACCAGCCCAAACCAGTACTCCACCTCCACCTTGCTGGCATCTGAGTCGGACTGGAGCTCTCTGCCCTTTACCAATCCAGCCACGGGCCCATCCATCTGGCCCATCAAGACTCACTCTCATTTCATCAGTCCATAAAACCTTAGAAAAATCAGTCTTGACATATTTCTTGGCCCAGCCTTGACGTTTCAGCTTGTGTGTCTTGTTCAGTGGTGGTCGTCTTTCAGCCTTTCTCACCTTGGCCATGTCTCTGAGTATTGCACACCTTGTGCTTTTGGGCACTCCAGTGATGTTGCAGCTCTGAAATATGGCCAAACTGGTGGCAAGTGGTATCTTGGCAGCTGCACGCTTGACTTTTCTCAGTTCATGGGCAGTTATTTTGCGCCTTGGTTTTTCCACACGCTTCTTGTGACCCTGTTGACTATTTTGAATGAAACGCTTGATTTTTCGATGATCACGCTTCAGAAGCTTTGTAATTTTAAGACTGCTGCATCCCTCTGCAAGATATCTCACTATTTTTGACCTTTCTGAGCCTGTCAAGTCCTTCTTTTGACCCATTTTGCCAAAGGAAAGGAAATTGCCTAATAATTATGCACACCTGATATAGGGTGTTGATGTCATTAGACCACACCCCTTCTCATTACAGAGATGCACATCACCTAATATGCTTAATTGGTAGTAGGCTTTCGAGCCTATGCAGCTTGGAGTAAGACAACATGCATGAAGAGGATGATGTGGACAAAATACTCATTTGCCTAATAATTCTGCACTCCCTGTATCTATCTATCTATCTATCTATCTATCTATCTATCTATCTATCTATCTATCTATCTATCTATCTATCTATCTATCTATCTATCTATCTATCTATCTATCTATCTATCTATCTATCTATCTATCTATCTATCTATCTATCTATCTATCTATCTATCTATCTATCTATCTATCGTCTGTCTGTCTGTCTGTCTGTCTGTCTTTTTTTTTTTATAGGCAACATACTACACTGCATGTAGTACTGGGGTGTTCCACTAGGGCGCGCAACTCAGACCGGAAAGAGAGCCAGGTTTGTGATTCTGACCAAAACAAACATGGCGTCCATAAAAGAGCTCATTTGTTCTATTTACTAGTTCATTTTGAGACCACAACAGAATAAAAGACAGCAGCGGTATCGTAGATGGTGTGAAAGACTTCTAAACCAGAGGCGGAGTCACCGTGGTGAGTGTGTATCGCTCTTTTGGTCAACTCCACCCAATGGTTACTCGTTTAATGTAGCGTTCAGACCAAAGACTGCTTCAGACCATCGGTTCAGACGCGTCGCGTTAATTTCGGGGAACGCTTCAAATCAAACGCAAGCCAGTTTAAACACGTGTTCGCGTCGTTAAACAGCAGGTCTATCACTGCCCTTAGGGTTAACACTAACCCTACAAGTATATATTTTTAATTACATCGATATCTGTAAATTACCTCAACATTCTCCTGTTTGTCTATATGGTTAAAGCATTTGCAGAATTCAGGCGTGTTCTAATGTCAAATGCAGTCGTTTTACACTGATACTTATTTATCTAGCGCAGAATGAGCTAACACTCTTTATTTAGATTATTTCCCCTATTTTACAATAAAAAGTGTTGGAGTACAAGCAGAGAACATAAAGCCTCGACAACTAGCTGTTTAATATACGTTTAAAAGTTACTCAATCATTGGTTTTGGTGCAATAACATAAATTACTCCTTAAGTTCAGCATATAAAATGAATATTTGTCTAATCAAGGATATATCTTCAACAGTCTGTCTGTAGAAAGGAATTTGACCTTTGCATTGGAAGACATGAACTGTAATAAGCAGTTCCAATGCTTAAAGGTGGGATATGTTATGTTTTTCTGGAGCATTTTTTGCCATATTGCTTGACATGTTTGTTTTGTCAAAAATGAGTAATTTTAATCACCTGTGAAATGCATCATCCTAGAAAAATGCAATCCAATTGTGAACGTCCTGTTCGTAATGATTGGATTATGATCCATCCATCAAACTGCGTCCCTCTCCTCTTGCGCATACCGACCAATGAGCACGACTGGTGCATTCTCAGAGCAGCTGAGCGTGGAGCAAAGCCAGAGCCAGGCTGTCTAGTGTCTGATGGAATGTTACATTCTGTTAATGATAAGGGAGGAGATGAGAGCTCTGAACAAGAGAACAGTCAAAAAGAAAAATATTGTTCTGCTGTGTCAGCCTGTAGAAGTTCTTGTAAAACATCATTTTGTTTCATGAACCAAAGGGACTTGAAATAGTGTTAAATTCAACTTTAAGAAAATTGGCAGGATGCTTTTGTTTATCTTTTGAGTTAGATGTTTTTTTCTTGTTTGCTTTATCTGCTCCTCACCAGAGACACAACTGACCTAAGGAGATAATAAAAGACAGGTAGTGGGAGGGTTATTTAGCTGCTTAGTCGAAGAGATCCATCAGCTAGGTAGCCATCAATACATCCTAATTCAGCCCACATACGATACTTGTTGTATTATTATGTATTTTTCTTTTTGGGGCAGCAGTAGCTCAGGAGGTTGAGCGGGAAGGTCGCAGGTTCGATCCCATCTCAGCCATACGATCCTGTTGTTGCGTACTTGGGCAAGACACTTAACCCACCTTGTTTGCTTGCGGTGGTCTGAGGGACTGATGGCGCCTGTGCTTGGAAAGCCTCATCTCTGCCAGTGTGTCGCAGGGCAGCTGTGGCTACTTTGTAGCTCATCACCATAACCACAAAATTCCACTATCTCCGCTCTGCCCCGCCCTCCACTGCTGCTCGCTTCCAAACTCAAATTATACTATACCCGCTCTACAACGGCTCCGCTCCGGTGCGGAGACCTGAGGTGCGCAAACAGACATGCGCGGGATTTTCGAGATCTTGCAATACAGTCCGAGCAATAAACGCGGAAGTTAGATCCAAACACCCGTTGTGTGGGAGAAGCATCGAAATGAACTGTTTAATCTGTCCATCATTTGTGTTGAGAGATCAGCAGTGTATGGATCAACAAAGGGTGACTGCTTTGATAGTAGAAACTGTATTTATGGCTTATTTTTATGCATTTAAAGTTCAACCGCCATTGACAGTTGTTAAAAGTTGTTAAACCTGTGCATATGAAACAAAAAACGCCTTTTGTTTACCGATTTATTGTGAAATAACGGAAGTTGTGCTTGCTCCCTTTCCTGTTGGGCAGTTGTAGTTTCTGTCCATTGACTGCGGAGGTGCTCCGGCGTCCGGCGAAAATAGAATTGATCCTATTTTTGCCGGATGGCGGAACGGCGGGTGGCGCACTGCGCCGCACGGCCGCAGTAGTGGAACAGCTCTGATTGACTACAACAGGGCTGTTTTTGCTGCGGAGTTCGTGCCGCAGCGGAGCTAGTGGAATTTTGGGGGTAAGGGTGTGAATGAATGAATGAATGAATGATACACTGTAGTGTAAAGCGCTCTGGAGTTCTCTGACTCAGAACAGTGCTGTACAAGTGCAGGTCATTTATCCTTATCAGCAAATACAAAATAAACATCCAACATTTTCAGTTTAGTATTCTTTATAGTTTTAGTATTTTCAGCAACAGAGTTTCATGCGCCATCATGTCTCTGAAATTAGACCATTGAGTAAAAAAAAACCCAAAACAAACCAGGCCAAACATATGATTTCATGTTGTGTTTTTATATTGATGGCTGCTATTTCACCACCTGCAGCTGGAGTCAGCCTAAAATCAGTATCACAATATATTGAGGATTTCACCTCGATAACGATAAATGGACGATAACTACAGGTATGCGCAGAAACAAAGGTTGGCCACTAGATGGGGCTGTCACGTGTATTACGTTGAGTCACATTTTTACGTGACTCAGGAGTTACAGCTTCTTAAAGGGACATGAACATTGCCAACCTACACACATCTTTTCTTTTTTTATTTCAAATTTATTTACATGGGAAAATTTCTCGATACGACCAGAAATTTTGATAAGGATAAATTGATTTATTGCCCAGCCCTATCCACAATTTACTGTAATAAATTAAATAATTTTAGGCTATATCACCCAGCTCTAGATGAACCTATTGCCAAGTATTTCTGTTGTTATAACTAAACCCAATCTGCTTTGATAGTCCCACATTCCAGACACAAACTCAAAATCCTTTGATAAACTCTGACATGCTAATTGTTAATTCACTCAAGGTCTGAGCCTTGTTTTCTGCCAGAGCCTAGAAGGAGTTGGTAATAATTAACCAGTGTTTCAACCGGCCAAAGGTTTCTTCAACTGCCTTTAGTCGTCTAGTATCTAGAAGGTTGTTTGATCTTTGGCCTTAGTGAGCTCGCTCCACTAAAGAGTTATTTTTTTAAATTTAACCTTATTTAACCAGATGAGTAGATTGAGAACTCATTCTTGTTTATGTTTATGCCTATGTTTATGTTTATGTATTTAGCAGACGCTTTTGTCCAAAGCGACTTACAAGTTATAATCGGCATGTTGGTCTTGAGTAGGGCTGCAACTAACGATTATTTTCATAATCGATTAATCTGTCGATTATTTTTTCGATTAATCGATTAATCGGTTTGTTATTGTTTAGCTATTTAACCTATACAAGTGATGGATGCATTTCAGTTAAGAAAAAAAACATAAGAGAATTGTGCAGTTGACTGCAATCTATTTTATTGCACATGAACACAGTCAGCAGTATAAAATGAGCTAAACAGTGCAAAATATCAGTCCAGAATAATTTTTTAGCATTAGCTGGAAGCCTGCTCCTTCCACCATGGATAGTGGCCTCATGTCTTTTACCAGCATGTTTAGAATAGAGTTTGTAAGTGGTATGAATTGCTGGGGGGTGAGTGTCTTGTTCCCCATGTAGTTGTCCATCGTTGCTTGTTTTTTTTTCTGCATAAGAAACACAAATAGACTGAAATAAGTACACATATAAAATAAAGCAGCACACACACTACAACACTAAATCAATATTATATTATTTGAATTAATTAACAATATACAGTGATCATTTATTTTGAGGGTTACGTTCTACAAAATAGCCCGAAACAGGAGATATTCAGAAAAAATTCTAATTTTTTTACTATTAAAAATCTCTAAGTAAGAAGCTCATGAGGTTTTTACTTTGAGTCGGGAGTGTTTAAATTAGCTAGAGAAATGTGAAAAATGTTTATTTTGTGTAATACTGTTTAAGAAACATGATAAAAATGTGTTGTGAGGCGTTTTACAGCGTTAGACGGTAAAACAGCCTTTTAATAGTAAAAAAATGACTTTTTCTGAATTTCTCCTGTATTTAAAAATTGAAAGCGTACAACTATGCAGCGTTATATTCACCTGGACACAGCTCGTCTGTAAATTTTTCACCGCGGAGTTGTCCTTTTTTGAATGAGGAACATAGTTATGGGTTTGTGCCGTTTTTCTCTTAACGAGAACATTCTTATAAACAGACGTGCTGAATTTGGCAAGCGCACGATTCACAACACGGAGGACATTCACGATGGCATCTAGTCAATCAGAAGTAGAACACCGTAGACTTACGCGGCAAAAAAACATGTTTAACATCCAGTATAACGAACTCAGCTAAAACACTAAGTCCAGCTTGTTTATTTTCTGTTACTTACCGGGCTGGCTCTTCCAAATGACGGCTCACTTGACCGCGGTGCTCTTCCTCTGCTGCATCAGCCCCCACATGTTTTCGTCTCAAATGTTCACTTAGGGACGTCGTGCTTCCGTGCTATGCTAGATGGTTTTTGCATATTTTACAGGTCACCCGTCTTTTCAAGGCATCTAGAGTAAAGTGCTCCCATACTCGTGAGGTTTTTGTCCGGGGTTTCTCTTCAGTTTTGTCGCTTCTATTTTTCTTCCGTATTTCCTCTTGTTCCGCCATCTCTCACAGCAAGATGAGCGTCAGTAACGTGATACGTCATGAAAACCGAGGGCACTCATTGGCTCATTTCTTCTTCTACGGCTCCACTGGTAGATCAGTGGCTCATTACTGCCACACACTGGCGGCAAATTTAACAGCTTGTAACCGATGTCAGATTGTGGTAAAAATAGACTTTATGCGGTAAAATATGATTATTAAACAACTAATCGATGACTAAAAAAGTTGTTAACTATTTTAATAATCGATTATAATCGATTAAATCGATTAGTTGTTTCAGCTCTAGTCTTGAGGCTAACAACAACAATAACAACAACAAACAATTTCCAGTCAGTTGTAGGTGGCAGTGAGGCAGCATGATGAATCATGGAGAGGAGGGAACAAGGAGTGGACAGTAGAGAGGGGGATGGGTGCAGGGAGGGTGCTAGTTAAGAAGATGCTCTCTGAAGAGCAGGGTCTTCAGGAGTTTCTTGAAAATCGAAAAGGAATCCCCTGTTCTTGTAGTGCTTGGTAGATCATTCCGCATTTGTGGAACGATGCATGAGAAGAGTCTGGATTGTCCTGAGCGTGGTGTAGGCACTGCTAGCCGACGATCCTGTGATGACCGGAACGGCCGGGCCGAGACGTAAGCCTTTGCAAGAGGATTCAGGTAGATGGGAGCCGTACCATCTCAGACTTTGTATGCTAGTGTTAGCCATTTGAATTTGATGCGTGCAGCTAGCGGTAGCCAGTGGAGCTCAATGAACAGAGGGGTCGTTTACAACGACGATCTGGCCAAGAGGCAGCAGCAACAGACACATAGCTTTACGTCAAAGACAAACAGATGAGATAAAAATAAACAAGATCAAAATAAGATTAAACTGTTCGACATAAAGACAAAGGACTGTTCTCAGATATAATATGTACAAGCAAACAAAACAGACTTAAAACAATCTTTATGCTTTCAGAAGCACATTTATCAGAAACTATTGATTGCAATTAATTATTGAAGGTAGATGATGGAGTGTAGGAAGTGAGCTTCAGTGATTTTTGCAGCTCATTCCAGTCGTTGGGAGCAGCAAACTGGAATGAGGAGCAGCCAAATGAGGTGCAAGCTTTGCGAACAACCATAGAGATTATGTTACTGAACGTAAATTGCGCCAGTTGTTGGAAGTGTTGAGGTTGTACAGATGATTGTTTTGTATATTAATTGATACCAGTGTAACAACCTGTGGGAATGGAGTGATGGCCAGTTAACAAGTGAGTACAGATCACAATGATGAGTAATTAAAAGGGCACCAGCGATGAAACGGATTGCTGAGCGATAAATGACATCGAGTTTTTGAAGAAGTTTTTTGGATTCACTCCTATAAATGATATCACTGTAATCTAAGATGGAAGAATTGTCATTTTGACCAAGGTTTGCTTTGCAGAATGAGTAAAGGATGACCTGTTGTGGTATAGAAACCCAATTCTTGAATTTAGAAAGTAATGAATTAATGTGAATTTCAAATGAATGTTGTCAAGCCAGATACCCAAATACTTATAAGAACTGACAAGTTGTAGTTCTGTGTCATCTAGGGAAACAATACTAGGGTGGAAAGTTTTACTTGTGTTTAAAAGAAGATGAAGGTTGGAGAAGGCATGGTGAAGACGATCAAAGTTGTTCTGCAAGGAAGATAAAGCTGCATTCAGGGAAGAACTGCATGAATATAAACTTGTGTCGTCCGCATATAAATGTATAAGAGAACTGTCAACAGCATGAACAATGTTATTAATATAGATTTTAAATAAGGTTGGGCCCAGTATCAACCCTTGAGGAACACCCATAGATAGAGGTAGAGGAGCAGATTGGTAACACTCTGTTCTTGCATATGGCCTAAGATATAACTTCTGAACTATGCTATGGATGCCTGAAAAAGTCCTATATGTTTGAGCCAGCTAGGTAAAATGTTATGGTCCACAGGGTCAAAGGCTTTAGCCAAGTCAACAAGCACATATGATGTCATTTAGCACTTTAAGTGTTGCAGACACACATCCATGGCCAGTTCTGAAGCTGGACTGCATGGGGTAATAATACTGCTGGATTCCAGATAGTGAGTTGGCTGTATGCTGACTAACTTTTCAATGACTGTAGAGAGGCAAGGCAAGATGGAGATGGGCATAAAACAGCGTAGGTCTGAATGATCTCCCTCTTTAAAAGGTGGAGTAACTGATGCAAATTTCCAGTCCTGCAGAAATGCACCAGTTTGTATGGACAGGTTAAATAGATAGATAGTAGGTGCTGCTATTTTCAGAAAGAAAGGTTCAATGATATCCAGCCCAGCTGATTTATGAGGAACTAACCTGAGTAACTCATCAAGTACATCATTTACCTGAAACAACTGAATGGAGAAACAGGAACTGCAGCTGCACCACATAACAAACCCTGGTCGTGTGAAACCCATATAGTGGTAGACGTCTTCTTTTATGCAAGTTGCACCTTTTGTATTTTTGTTGAGATCATAGCTGCTTTCCAAATGAATGAATAACCCTGGTTTACCTTGATACTACACCGAGTTGGGCTACTCTCCTGATTTTGCCCTTTTGAACTGGGCTGTAATCCTTCAAATGCTGGTAAAGTTCACAAGCATTGAGCTGAAACAACTCCTAGTCGTGATTGCATAACAAATAGTGAAAGAACAGAGCAAGAGTTTGGAGCTCAGAGCTGGCTTTTGGGTCTTCTGTGGTAAAACATAATGGCAGAGGTTAAGAATTATGGCAAGAGGAGACGAAAAGGTACGTCTAATCTTATGTTTCAGAAGAGGAGATATGAGTTAATCTGGAGCTTCGAGAGTGAGAGGCTGAATTCTTGGGCTCAGAACCTTTTTATGAAAGAGCCATTTAGATCTTGGTCTTGTTTCAGAAATGTGACTTATGTTCAGCCTGAAGGTGAAGCTCCAGAAGCAAACCTCCCACCGCTCTACAGACAACAGGCTGGTTCTGTCATTGTTGGCACTCTGGATCCCTGTCAGTTTAAACAAATATCTCAATTATATGGAAAAATAAATACATTTATACATTATATGTATAAACAATTTTTTTGCATATATCAGATGATCAATGTGAGTAGGTTACAATAGTTATAACTAAGATTACAACCATTAAACTAGTTACTGTTTGCAAATCTTAATTGATTACTCGTAGATCTCATGTTTATTAAATCACATATTAACCCTTTAACTCTGACACCAAGAAACAAATCAATGAAAAATGTTTGTGGTTTTCTTTATTTTTTGTTTAATTATTTACATTTTTGTTTAATTATTTACATTTTTGTTTAATTATTTACATTTTAATTCATTTAGGGCAACATGGCTCAGTTAAAAGTTCATAAAAATTATACATATGAGAGAAAATGAGATAATGTAATAAAACACAGGAGATTTTTATAACACTCCCATGTTTTCTTTTAGATTTTTCTTAGTGTATAGTGGCTCTGTTCAGTTCAGTGCTTCTGTCAAAAAGTGCTCTATTACAAAGTAGCCTGCTCATTTAAAAAGTTGAAATGTAAGATCCTTTCATTGGTTAGATTAGAAAATATGTAAAAACATTGTTCAAGATTTTAAACTTACTTAAAATTCAGCATTTCAGCCCAAAACTGTAATTCTATCTCCACCTTCAGGTTACAACTCAGCTCCACATTGATTTTAGAGTCAGCCACAGCTGCAGGTGCAGGGTGATGTCTGTGTTGTACCATGGCCGCACTGGACTGGACTGCAGCTGAGTCTTGGCCACCTCCAGCCGGCCCAGACACTCACCTGCCCACTCGGAGCCCTGCTTAAAACAATGTCCTCCTCCCCTTTCATCTAGTGATCGCAGTGGACAGGAAATCCTGCTGCTTTGTGTTTGCCCATTCTCTTGAGCGTTGAGTCTGCGTGTGTGTGTGTGTGTGTGTGTGTGTGTGTGTGTGTGTGTGTGTGTGTGTGTGTGTGTGTGTGTGTGTGTGTGTGTGTGTGTGTGTGTGTGTGTGTGTGTGTGCTAGGGTTGTCACGATACTAAAATTTCAAACTCGATTCGATACTTGGAAAAAAACTCGATACTCGATTTCGATACTATTTAAAAACACCCATTTATCGAACAAGTTTATTCAAAAAATAACATTCCTCAATTTATATTACAAAAATTAAATGTTAAGAATTAAGTGTATTAAGTGCTTACACCTTTCAAGTATCAGCATTTTTTAAAACGTGCATACAAAAACTGGTGAAAGTTAACACTTTAAATCATGAATTGTCTCACTATATATACACTATTTGCAGAGTGATGTTTTGCTGCTTAAACTCTGTTTAAGGTGCATTTTTGTCATAAGATGTAATGCCGTATGTTTTGTTCTGTACTTTTGAACAACTCTGTTGGTCAATAAAGGGAGAAAACGAATTTCTCCACAGTAGGACAAAGGTACATCTACCGGTAATCTTAATAAAAACAGACTGGCGCACGGCAGTGACGTCATTAAAAGCACCGGTTAATTAGCCGCAGCTAGTCTGTTTACGCCTAGAAATCCCAGACCCGCTCCAAACGAACAGGGGAATCACGTTAATGATTCCTAACAAAACCTTTCGACATGAAGATGTTTTGGTGCAGATAATGTCTTATTTCGAGGCTGCACCATGGATGCCCGTCCGCACCCGTTATATGGATATACACTGACGGCGATTCGGCGATGGATCTAAATACCCCGGGGGATCCAAGTAGCACCAAAGTTGTCAGCGTGAGTAAACAAACGTACTGCATGCTAGAAATTAAGTCCGGGTTGCAATAAACGGGAGTTTCCTTTAAGCACATAAGTGTGAATATACAACTACGTGCCGGACTTGGTATGCTAATTAAGCTGGGCTGTGAAGCGCCTCCCAAATTTGCTGTTTATGTTTTTGTTTATTTATTTGGCAGACAAAACTTGGATTGGAGACAACTCGCGTGGGAAATTGCAATGTAGCCATGCGGCGTCTTCTGTTTGTCCGGGAGGCGGAGGCTGCTTTACGGCATCTGGCTGTCGTGCGTGTCGATGTACTTGAAGAAGGCTGTGTATAATAGTCCATAATATCGATACCACAAGGATGGAATATCCAATTTAGATACCACTTTTAGTATCGATTTATATCTGGGTATCGATTTTTTTGACAACACTAGTGTGTGCACGCGCGCGCTCATGTGCATGTTAACATGTTGTTCCGACTGAGAAACACCCAAGAGCATGGAGGTGAGGGATGCTGTCAGTCACTGCCTCACAGCTGCTCGTTCGCAATGTCTCCTTTAGGTGCATTTTTCTAACAGGAAGTGTGGGTGAAGTAAGTCTCCACCCATGGAGTGACTCACCCTTTAAAGAGCAAGTCACCCCCAAATCAACCTTTTTTTCTGATAAACTAAATGCGTGTCTAATCATGCTGCAGACACATGTAGCCAATAGTTTTACACTTTAGTGCATTTTAGTTAAAATTTAAAATTTCTGCCTAAAACTGTCAGTGTTGTGCCGTTGTCAGGTAAAAACTCTGCACTGCATTTGAAATTAAATCTGCCACCGCTATTGGCTAAGAGGTACGCTAGAACATTAGCTGGTATCATATGATGTCACAATGTTGTTGTGAGCCTGTGTATTTGTTAGCGGCTCTGCCATTTTGGTCTGCTAGGCAACAGCATTGTTGCATTTTTCAAACAGGAAGTGGGAGTTGAGTAAGAATCTAGTAGGGGGTGACTTGCTCTTTAAAGAGTTCAAAATGGGAAATGAAGCTGAAATCTGTGGAGGGAATGTAATGCAAATACAAGTGCTAGTCATACAATAGGAATATCATGACAAAGTTGATTTATTTCAGTAATTCCATTAAATAAGTTAAATTTGTATTTTATATTCATTCATTGCTGCGAGGGACCAAGTTGAATAAGTGGAGGAAACACAGGAAATCTCCAAAAGTAGGGGTTCTTTTACGAAATAACTCAAGCTCATAAAAGAGGACAAACAACTAAGACTCAGCAACGTGTTAACTTAACATCTCAACCAACTGGAGAACACAACTGGCCTGAAACACACACGAGTATATACACTGGCTGATCAGACCATTTGAACAATGGGGAGAATTAGACAAACATTTACTAACTACAAACAAGTCAACGACTCTGTACCGTTGGATTGTTAATAAACCTAAACCTCCTAACCCATAAACCTAAATATATTAATTCAAACTTAAATTGATTAATAAATCATAAAGTAATAAACTAAAGGAAATCCTTCAACCCCCCTCTTCCTGGAGCTGTTGGTTTGGCCCCAACAGCTCCTCCTCTGTTTAGCTGACAGAACCCCTTCAGATGTGTTGGCCTGTCCAGCTTCAGGAAGCAGGAAGTGGACGAACCCTCAGCACCGGTAGGAGAGAACATAAATGGTCTTGAACAGAACAAATGACAGGCATGAAATACAGCAGTTAACCAGACTTGCACACTTTCTACCAGAACTAATGTATTTAAACTATTTAAACAATGAACCCAAAGAAATGTTAACTTACAAACTGAAATCTAAAAGGTGCATGGGGGTTACTAACATTTAATGGTGTGTGGACATGGATGTGGCCATCACAATTACACACAGTCTAATATATTTTAAATACTTATTTCTCTAGATGATGATGATGATTATAACTGACAACTAATGTAAATCCTAAATTCAGTATCTCAGAAAATTAGAATACTGAGACCAATGCCAAAAAAAAGAACTTTATGTTGGCCAACTGAAAAGTGTGAACATGAAAACTTTGAGCATGTACAGCACTCGGTATTTAGTTGTGGCGGCTTTGGCCTGGATTACTGCAGCAATGCAGCTTGGCATGGAGTCCATCAGTCTGTGGCACTGCTCGGGTGTTATAAGAGCCCATGTTGCTCTGATAGTGGCCTTCTGCTCTGGGAATTTTACTCATGACAAAATGGTATGAGGGGATCAGTAAACAGTGTAAGGTAACTTGTATGCCTCACAGAACCAGGAAATGGCTGCAGGCAGTGAAACAGAAAACAACCAGTGACTCCGCCCCCTAGCCAATTAATAGCCAAAATTGTGATGCCAGCCCGACTCAACCTTGCCAGGTACCTCAAAGGAGCAGGGACTAAAATAGGGGAGGAAGTAGAGAGAAAGTACCGAACCGTGCCCTTGGAAACAGTGGTGGGGCCGAGCTGCACCGCTCTGAGCTGCTCTGAGTAGTGCTCCTGGAAAAACACTCTTTGTGAATCTCTCCCACATTGTTGAAGGGACTGTGTGGATCCTCTCCAGGGTGTGTGTATCCCTATTGCTGGAACAGATTTTTTCTACCACATCTTGTCCTTCCCTTCTCGTCTCTGTTAATGTGCTTGAACATGGAGATCTGTGAACAGTCAGCTTCTTTAGCAATGCCCCGTTGTGTCTTGCCCTCCCTGTGTTAGGTGTCAATGGTCATCTTTTGGACAACTGTCAACTGTTAAGTCCGCAGTCTTCCCCATGATGTAGCCTACAGAACTAGACTGAGACCATTTGAAGGCTTTTGTGGGTGTTTAGAGTTAATTAGCTGATTAGTTTGGCACTGGGGGTCTTCAATATTGAACTTTTTCACAATATTCTAATATTCTGGTACAGAATGAGATTTTCATTAGTTGTCAGTAATAATCTTCATCAATAATCTGAATGAATCTAATATACAAGTTTTAACTTTTTCAATCTGTCAGTCAGACATGTGACCTGCATGTCAACCACACCCCTTGGCACCATTTTAGGTGTATGACTCGCGTTGCTAGGGGAAGCTGCAGCTGAAGTTGTAGCAGAACAAGAGTCAAAAGGATGGATAGAAGGGACAAGGACGAACGCATCCCTGACAGGAATAAACTTGTGAAGGAGGATAGGGATCGGTATTTTCAGAAATTGTCTACAGTCGACATTGTAGATCTCTACGGCCTCAAAGGAAACAAACGGAGCTCAGATGTTTCATTACTGCTGAAAATATATCACGTGAGTGAACGTAGCACTACTACTAGCTAGTAAAAGTAAAAAGTAGCCGCCCAAAACATGACTCCACTAACACGGGTGCTGCAGCAGGTTTTAATTTCTGGATGGGGCTTAATTAAACATCCTATTATGAATTTAAGTTACAAGCAGATACTAAAACAAAGTCTGAAGCCTTGTTAGACATTTTTGTTTTCATTTTGACCAACACAGTTTAAAAAAACCCTCTTTATTTCTTCAAAAAATACCAACTACTTTAGCTTGTAGATTTTTGTATGAATCAATCCAAATAGTCTTTAAAGCATTAATAAAAAAACAACATGTACCAAAGTACTGTACAATAAAAGCATAAAGTATAAAAGAAAGAAATACTAAAGTTTGCAGCAACCTTGTAAAAGTCGTAAAAACCAACCCCTTCATTGGAAGGCCGAATCAAAAAGGTGAGTCGGGCGAGATTTAAACATAGTTAGGGAGTCTGCTCTACGTTTACAGGCAGCTCGTTCCACAAACAAGTTTTCCAAACAATTAAAACACCCACTATTGTTGCTAACTCCTCCATTCCTCAGAGCACAATTGTTTAAGTTCAAATCAAAAAAGAGCACATTTCAGATGATCTAAGATAAGCACGAGGGTAAATATTAGTCAGGTGATGGTGTGTTTCCTGCTTTACCTGTTATGGCTCTTTATTTGCCCCCTCCCACCTTCCATGTAGATGAGGCATATTGGTCGCCTCCTGTTAGTGCCTCGCCTCATACTGGATTTTTGTTCTTAGCCAAAGCTTTGCTGAGCTGTTAGGACTTTTATTGGAGGACACGGATATTTGGTTAAGGGAGCTTCCTGCCACCTGGACTGTGTGTGACTTGGAAACAGAGGACCGAGTGTGTGTAAGTTATTTAGATCTACATTTGTGGTGTTGTCAGGTAAATGGTTGGAAACTTGTGTCTTAAAGTTAGGATTTTAATTTAGTTTTCTTTGATTTAATCTCCATCGAGCTATGACTAAATAAAAGGAGATTCTCTTTTTTTTTCTGAGAAAAAATGTCCTTAATTTTTCCTTAATGGGAAATATTTGCCTGGGGTTTTAAAGTCTTTTTGAGCTGCTTGTACAACAGGTGGAGCAACTAATCCTTTTATATAGATGAGACTGTGAAATTGACTGTTCTGCTCAGCCCAGTTGTCTAGTTATTAAGCTTGTTTAACCTGAATAGTGACTGTGCCCCTGCTTACTTCTTTCCTTCACAAGTGCTTTAACACTTGGCCTTGGAGTTGAATGAAAGTCTCTGAAAGTAGAAGTTATCATCCATCTGTCTTTCTGCAGGTCACTCCAGGCCTCTGTCATCCATACCTGCTCCTCCAGGCTTCACTCGAATGGGTCAGGATGAGCCTATGAGCCCTCTTCGCATCGTAGCAGACGGTCTCCCTATATTGGCTTCCATGGCCAACACCACCCACCCTCGTTTCCGCCTTAAGTGGAGGCCCATCGTCGCTGTGGTCGTCGCCCTGTCTGTAGTTCTGTTGCTCCTTATGCACTTGAATCCAAGCCTGCGCTACTGCTCTCCTGGCTCTCACAGTTGGAAAATCCTTCCCAGTGGGAACCAGCAGTTTAATTCCCAATACAATGGCACCTATCCGCTTAGCCCACCTGAGCGCACGCCACAGGGAACGCGCTATCGCATCGGGATAATCGCTGACCTCGACACAAACTCTCAAAGCAACACAAAGCTCACGTGGTTCAGCTACATGAGGAAAGGATACCTGTTGGTGTCGCAGAGTGGTGACAAAGTGGCGGTTGAATGGGACGCAGACAGGGTGGTGCTGGAGAGCCACCTGTCGGAGAAAGGCAGAGGGATGGAGCTGTCAGAGTTGGTGGTGTTCAACGGAAAGCTGTACTCTGTGGATGACAGAACGGGTGTAGTCTATCATATAGATGGAGACAAGGCTGTGCCGTGGGTTATTTTGCCTGATGGTGACGGGAGTGTTGCCAAAGGTTTGTGTTTCCTAAAGCTGCAGGCCTTGGTGGACTTTTCTGAATCAGATTTATTTTTTAAGCAATGTGTTGTCTCTTCTCAGGGTTTAAAGCGGAGTGGTTGGCGGTAAAGGACGAGCACCTGTATGTTGGTGGTCTGGGGAAAGAGTGGACCACCACGGAGGGAGAGTTTGTCAACAACAATCCAGAGTGGGTAAAAGTGGTGGGCTTCAGGGGGGATGTACAGCACCAGAACTGGGTTCCCAGGTATACCTCTATGAAGCTTGCAGCAGGGATTGAGCCACCAGGTCAGGAGGCAAAGCTAATCATTCTTAAATCCACCCAGAGCTTGGGATTATATTTTTCTTTTATTTCATCCTGAATTCCTTAACATCTCCACAGGTTATCTTATTCACGAGTCAGCGGCCTGGAGCGACAGCCTACAGCGATGGTTTTTCCTCCCTCGTCGTGCGAGCAGAGAGCGCTATGAGGAGACGGCGGACGAGCGGCGCGGTACAAACCTTGTCCTGAGCTGCTCTGCAGATTTCAAAGACACCAAAGTTAGCCACGTGGGACCAAATATCCCCACTCATGGTTTCTCCTCCTTCAAATTCATCCCCAACACAAATGACCAGATCATTTTGGCACTCAAGTCAGAAGAGGATGCCAAAACGATTGCAACGTACATCACAGCCTTCACACTAGACGGACGCATACTTTTACCTGAAACGAAGATTGGGGACGTTAAATATGAAGGCTTGGAGTTTATATAGAAGGGCCAAAGACCGAGAGACTGACTTCTGAGGGCACTGCGCTGTGGTTTTAAACAGTCCAGTCACTGCATAACTCCAACCCTCAGAGGATTGGTGGACTGAATAACTTGAAGCTGAGACAGAAAAATATGGTCTTATCTGATCTGTAATAAAGCTACTTGAGCTGTTGAGTGCCATCTCAGCAAGCCAAATGTTGTTCAACAGTATTGTAGTCTTATTCATCATCAATGTACAGAGAATCAATGTTTTCAGCTGTGAGGTTTTTCTTTCACTGGTAAATGTCTAAACCTATGAATGTTTTTAACACTCGAGAAAGATGTTGTGCAATAACTTCTTTGTTAAAGCCATCCATTGAAACTTTTTCATATTTTTAAAGCATTTTCTTGAACCAGTATGTGCTTAAATGACCCTTTACAGCATAGGTATTCAATTCTGGTCCTGGAGGGCTGGTATCCAGCATGTTTTAGTTTTAACCCTACTCCAACACACGCGATTTCAGTTAGTAGGTGATTAACAGGCTTCTACAGAGCCTGATGAGCTGCCGCACAGGTGATTCAATCACTGAATCTAGTGTGTTGGAGCAGAGAAACCACTAATGGGCCATTCCCATCCGTACCTGGTTGACCCTGCCCGGATAGCTCCAGTCGGCCCCAGCCTGGCCCGGTTGATTCCACACATCCTTGCTTAGGTATGCAAGGAATGCAGTCAGACATTTTCAGCTTCTAGGCTTGCTGTAATAGAAGGTGTGAATTTGCTGTCAGCAGTGGGTGTATTGGCCCTGGTCAGCTTGAAGCGGACCCCCTCAGAAAGAGGGCTGAAAAACAGTTTTGTTGCACCCTGAAAAAAGGCAGGCCACCAAGATATGTAAGCAAGCTATGCTGTCTGGGCCAGGCCGACCAGGTACAGATGGGAATGGCCCATAAAACGTGCTGGATACCGGCCCTCCACGCCCGGAATTGAATACTCCTGCTTTACAGGGTTAATGAAATGTCACTCAGACCCTCACTGCTTCCTGTGGTCATAAAATAAGACTTTTAATTTTCAGACTGGTGGGCCACTCTGTTGGGACTTAGAAAAAATGGAGCTGACACACCTGGTGCTGCAATCATGGTTTCAGCATGTTTTAGATTATGAACACAACTTATTTGCTTAAAATTGTGATGAATCACTTCTGTAGACACTGATGAAGGTTGGGAGACATTTCAGCTGTTAGGTTAAGGTGATAAAAAGATGCAATACAACACACAATGAGGACTTTTGGTTTCTATTTGATCAGTGATTTAATAACAGACACTAGGGGGTGCTAAATGCAAGCAAAACTGACAAGTGTGTCTAATAATTTCTGTTGAAATGAAACTTTAGAGGAAGGGGAAGTTAGCCTGGCAAGCCAGACTAAATAAATATATTATTCAGTCTGCCAACGCTCCATTGATGGTTCAGTCGTGGGGCGGGTTCTACTGTTATCCTTCAAATGATTGCCGCATGTTACTGGACAGCGAACAACATGACGTACTCACCTCAGCGGATGTCTCAGTGAGGCAGTCTGCTGTTGTGCAAAAGTACATCCTTTCTCTAAATAAAGGACAAATGTATCTATCTGCTCCTGAGGCCTAGTCCACACATAGCCGGGTTTTTTTTAAAAACAAATATCCGCCCCTCCAAAAACTTGCATCCACACCACCTCGTTTAAAAAAAAACTGTCCACATGTAACCGGATAAATTCGTTGTTAAGGACATGCCAGACCTGTAGGCGGCAGTACTTCCCCCCCTTCTTAACCTCGTTCTTCTGTGGTCTTCCGCAAGGAGCAGTAATTCCACTTGCAAAAACAAACAAGCAAAAAGCGCTTGGACAAATGATAAAGCGAGCGCAGCTCTGAGGGCATCCGTGCTGTTGGCTAGCGTAAACACAGGTCGCACACGTGATGTCAGCATTTTTTGTCGCGGAAAGTGACGTTGCGGACCTTAAAACTCTGGTTTTGTCTGTCCACACGCAGACACCCAAAACGGAGAAAACGCCGATCTTCACTTTGGCCGGAGTTTTTAAAAAGATCCGTTTTCGTGTGGATGACAGGCCAAAACGTGGAAAAATATCTACGTTTTGGCAGATTCCCGGCTACGTGTGGACAGGGCCTGATTCTAATACAGCCCACGTCATAATAGTCCAAAAGTGATGTGAAAGCCGTTTCAAATGTGTTGTCACCATCTCCCACTCCATTGCATCCTCCTGCCCACCAAACAAATCAAGTGCCTTGATTGGCCCACAAAGCCGATAGAGCGCTGTGATTGGCCCAGTGGCGGTGCTAGGAGGCGCTACAGCTACCCCTGGATTAGTCATTGTACCCCATAGCGCCCCCAAGTAAACATTAGATTAATATTTTTTTACAATTTAATTTCTATTTAATGTGTTGATGTGATAATATTTAACATACAAAACAAAAATAATCAGTAAATTATCATATAGATCCTAAAAACTTAAACCAAAACAGGAAATTGAGGTTAACCTTTGACCTCATTTTCCACCAGCGAACGAGTGAAAGGTAGAGCTAGTGGTAAAATGGATCGGTTTTTGTTGCCCACATTTCCACAGGTTCAGTCAAAAACGAGTGAATCTTTGGAAGTGATCTCCGACCCACAAAAACCTACAGATCTGGATGAAGAGAGTCAACCCTCAACCGCCGCAGCAGTCGAGGGTTTTGCCACTGGAAATGCTAACACTAACGTTAGCTAACCTTGCAACACTATAGATGGTTTTCTGTGTGGCTGTATGTGTTTATGATTTCATGGAAAAGTCAGCGATCGTTCATATGTTTATGATGTATATTAATGATTGATCCAGGTGTTGTTGAGGTTTGGTGCACGCATGTGTACCTGCTAGTGTTGAAGGTGTTTTAGAGCACAATAGGTACGCATGACCACTTCCTTCATAGCACACTCAATAAAAAGACTAGCTCCTTCACAGCACCTGCAGAAAAACATTTCTGGAGCTGCCACTGGATTGGCCCACCATTGTGGACCAAACACAGTGTTCTGCCAGTTTTAAACCCCGATGGAGAGCTGTGATTGGTCCATCAGAATGCTGCTAAGGGGCCGCGGAGGTTCAATGGAGCGTTCCTAGTTCACTAGGCTAAAGGGAAGAATATCTTCAACTCAGACATGAAAATCCTTCACCTTTCAGTGAGATTCACTGTTTTGAATCCAAAATGGGTCACCTACCTGATTCGTGCAGATCCGATGAGAAAATTATTAGGGGTTTTAAAGTTTAGCCCACTGGGGGAAATATTGCAGAGGATTTTTAAGATGCCCCCAGCACCACCGACAGATAAATGAATTCTCTGCATCTCCCCAGAGACACAGTGCACATGAGGAGGTAATAAAGGTCAATGCCTCCGAAGGACAGGTAATGGAAAGGTTAGTTAGCTGGTTAGTGAAGGGGAAGTAGCTATCATTAAATCCTAATCCAGCCCCAAGCCTGCTGGTATTATCAGCAAATCTAAAATAAACATTCAATATTTTTATGCGTCTCATCCTTTTCAACCCTGACCTGTTTTCACGTCTGTATATGGTCAAGTAGGATCATCATGTAAAGAATTATGAGATAAATGTGCTAACTGGCCAGAAAAACATCAGATAATATTATTTGTTTATGTTTGTTAGAAAATATCTGTTGCATTCAGCGACACAACTTTTCTGCAACCGTCAGATTCTGTGACTCCAGGAGGGAGCCCGAAGAACAGTTTTTCAAGCAGTAGCCTCCTTGAATGACTTTTAGAAGAGGACAATGACTTCCTAGGAGTTTATCAAGTTATGTCAAATTTCCATAAAATGCTGTGAGACTGTTGACAAAAACAGTGCAGTATCCAGAGCAAAATCAATAGATTATATTTCAGGAGAGTTATAATGAACCGCTGTGATCATCAGACAGAAAGATCCAAACGAGATGCAGGTAGGAGTTGCTGAGGCAGATGTAATCTAACCTTGTGTGAACTCAGAATCAACCCTCTCAGAGTACATGTACATTATGTGACGTACACACAACCCTCCAAAAAGAGTGCTTAAAAACACGTGGTTGAGAACATCGTCAGTGCCAGGTGAAAACATTTTAGAATAACTCGTTTGCTTTTCACAGAGGAAAGGAGAGTAGCTTTGCTTTTAACTTGACATCAAGCATTTTTGACATTATCAGGTTGATTATGTAAAGGGTTCATAAGTTCTAGAGGTTAGGAAGGAATTCCCCTTTGAGCAGTAGTAAAATCTGCAGTGGAGAAGTTCGGTTTAAGGCCGCAAAGCAACAAGGGCACAAAGTTCAAATAGAGTTCTTCTCTTTTAAAATGAAAAAGTAAAGACACTTGGTGAATTATCAGTGCCGTGTGCTTTTCCCCGGGTTAAATAGAGGGAGCTCATGTTTCACCAATTTGATGGTGCTGTGAGGTTTATTTGAGATTGCTGGTGTGATTAAAATTATTAATCTGGATGTGGCGACAGCATAAACATTTAATAGAATATTCAAAATGTGGCTGCAGTCAGTCTTTATTATAGCTGTTTGTAAGTAGGAAGTCAGCGTCTGTTATTTGCCAGATATACACACGAATAGGAAATTGTTTCTAGCAAATCACAAAGTTGGTTGATGGTTTGATTACTCCATCATTAAAAAACAGACACTTTTTCATGTTGTTTGTATATATTCCCATTTAGGTTGCAGCTTAGAGAGTCAACGTGCAGGTTCACTGAGAATGTATGCTTGTTTATTTTTGAAATACATTCAGTCACACAAAGTTTCACATGCAGGATGTGAAACTAGTCTTCAGTCCTTATTTCCTGCTGTAGCCGCTAACGCTGAAGTCAGAAGATGCTACATAGAACTACGTCGCACTGTAAAATTAGCATTCAGTCACCCACCCATCACAGAGGAAGGCTGAAGTTGATTTAGCTTCCAGGAGAGAGCAGAGCTTGTCTCAGCTAGTAGGAGCTAATCGTTAGCTTTGGCAACTCCACAACACGGCAGAACTCCTTCAGGCTTGTGTTATTTGTCCATCCAACTGTACATCTCCATTAAGTCCCATGAGATGTCTGTGCCCCAGACAAGCTGGTTCCCAAAGTCAGATACTTTCTTGGTCAGCTTGCTTCTCACACCAAACCCTCTGTCCGGAATCTTGGTGTGACCTTTGACCCAGCTCTCACTCTTAATTCTCATATCAGTTCTCTTGTTCGCTCTTCCTTCTTCCATCTCAGGAATATTGCTAAGCTGAGTCCCATTCTGTTCTGCTCTGAACTTGAGACAGTTATCCACACCATCTCTCCTCAACTCATGCATGGGGAGAACACGCAACTCTACGCAGAAAGGCTGCAGCCGAGTTTCGAACCTGCAACCTTCGTGCTGCGAGGCAATAGGGGTTGTATGAACTAGTCGACTAGTCGACTTCACGGCTCTGTAGTGACTTTTTATGCCTGTCATCGACTAGTCGCTGTCACGTGATAATGACTGACAAGATGCAGTCCTCCAGCAGGTGATGAGCCCCCGTGTCGGGAGGCGGAGGCGACGCGTTGTGCCAGAGCGTCGGTACTGACCCCGGCGGTAAAACGGACATTTAACCAAACTGTGACCTTTTCCCTCTTGCAATTTAACCTTCCCCTCACCCCCATCCTAATCTTAACCAGTTTCCGCATGCAAAGCTCTGATCGTTGACGCGCTCCAGACATCTGCGTCCTGAGCACCGCCAAATCAGGTGTCACCACCTCAAAAACAAATTAAACATGCGATCGTTCATGTCGGCTTATTTCCTTTAATGCTTTCTGTTATTTGTGCCTGATGCATTTCGCTGCTGCGGAGCGAGGCACATCACCTGTTTTGTTCTCCGGTGACGCACCCCCAAAATTCCACTATCTCCGCTCCGGCACGAACTCCGCAGCAAAAACGGTCCCATTGTAGTCGGCCGGCGAGCAGCGGCACTCCGCTGTTTTTGCGGTCGGTAGATCTTTTAGAACTGCAGTTCAAAGGTAACTCATAAGGTGAATATATATGAACCCAGGTAGCAGTTTTTCTTTAGGACTGAGAGGAGATGCAGGAAGATAATTAACAGACAGGACAGAAAAATAGTCAAATAAAAACAAGTTAGTTTTTGTACCTGCTGTTGCAACAAACAGACACCATTGAAGGTAATCAGAAGTGAGGAACAGAAAATGAAATAATTATTTTAATGTTTAGAGCAGCAGGAACTCCGAGAGGCTGCAGGCGCATCAGTTTGCTGCTGCTGCGCAGGGGGAGGGGGGAGAGGACTGAAGTAGGATGCAGAAACTACCGTTGTTAAAAGAGATGTGTTAACTTAGAAAATGTGGGCGCAATTTTAATTGTCAAAAACTCCAGCGAACCTACCGACCCCCCCCTTTTCAGGTGTATGATGTCATCAACGACTGGTCG